AGATGAAATAAATTATTTATAAAATATTATGTTACAAACTATACCTACTAATACAATTTACTTTATAATTTGTTATGAAAATATTTAATATTAATGAATATTTGGAACTCATTTTCTTTTAAACCAAATTATTAATTATTTATTATTTAATAATCCTAAAAAAACCATTTATTTTCAGGTTCGACATAATACAAAGAAGCAGCATTTTATTAACGGTTTTTCGTTAACCAAAGTCATTTTGTTACATTAATGTAAATTTTTAATGGCATAACCTATCTTATACTGGGCATATATTCTTTTCTTTTTTTCATTAATATAAATTTATTCTTTATGTTTAATTGTTTTATTTTATGAATAACCTCCTGTAATTTTCCTTAATTATCTATTTATTTACTTTTATTGAATGTATATTTAATACTTTATTTAATTGATTAGTACTGGGCAGCGATGAGTTTTTGTTGTCGATGTCAGGTGACTTCAACCACATTCTCCCCTTTAGTGGCTAACAGCCAAAGTAAAAACTTCAGAACTTATACACGATCCTATTGATAAATTGAGCACTCATCACTGATCTTATTTGGTATGAGTATATCTCTACTTTGCCAGAGGAAAGTTAATTACTCATAACATAAACCTCAAACCTGTCCTTTATGCCTTAAGCCTATTTACAAGCAAACTAATAAAGTTAAGCATTATATTTTGAAAGTATAATTGTTACTTGTTTAAAAGGTAAGGATTTAGAATTTAAAGTTAATTTGTACATCTTCGAATAATATGTAAATTAATTATTAATTAATATTATAATAAATAGTAATGATACAGTCTTGAACTGAATATGAAGTGGTGTCCAAGACATATTATTCTGGTGTAGCATAATTTTAGACATAATTTTACCCATCCACCCACCAAAAGTTTAAAAGTTTAAATATTTTTCTCCCCATATTTCCAATGTGTAACAACCTTTACATCAAGTTATATGGTTGGCCCAATCTCCAACCCATAAAAAAAAAAAAATTACCAGTTAATTATGTCTAAAATGTCTATTAATTTACCCAATCATAGACACCCATTATTTTTGTTTACCTACAAACTAAAATGTAAAAAACATTGATTTTCTGAACAAGTAACAGGAACTAAAACATTTAACTGATATATCATATTACAAGGCCATTCATTTTTGTAATTATTTATTTATGTATATGACACTCAGTGCAGAGTCATTACCCCAAAACGCGGTAAATATTCTGCCGGTGAATGCACTAAATGTAATATTCCTGTTACAAATATTACATATTAGTACATCTACAACATAACAATTGATTAATGAAAGTGTACCATATGGAAAGATTTACTCTAGAAAAATTAAATATGTTATCATTGACCAAAATATAAATTTGTTATGAAATACTTATTTATACATCTTATGAGATGTTTATTAAAATTTATAATCTATAAACCTTGGGTACGTCGGACGTCTGTAAATGTTTTTGATTTTTAAGTTAACAGCTGCATGTATTAAATAAAATAATACATTAATTACTAATTACTATTAAATTAATGCCATTTGTTTTTGTCAAAAATTGATTCAACCTATCACCATATTAAAAATAGGAAAAACATTAGATTAATTTTTATCATAAAACCTAATCAACCTAGTTAGGTTTCTTAACTATTTAAGAACCTATACGGACATAGAGTATAAAACAAAAAATGCTTAGAAACATACGGAGTGTGAAAGAAACAAGAAAGATCTGACAATAAAAAAAAAATAGTATTATTCAAACGTATGATAAAAGTTATGAAAATTATATAGATAATAAATAATTTAAGAAACATACTTATGTCAGGAATTTCCCAAAAAGAATATTTTGAAAAAAGTTTTTACCTGAAGTTTGAAAATAATATTCTCCAAAAAAATATTGACAAGTTATAGTTATGAAAATTGTGAAAAATAAACTACTTATAACGTAAATAATCTTTTTTACCATCTAATTTTGTCTAAGAATTCGATTTAGAAATTGGCTATTTTGATTTTTTCGAAAAAACATTTAGTAACATTTTAAATTATTATAGTACACTTGTAGCTCAAGCGTTTGTAAATTATTTTTAAAAAATAATATTTAAATATTGATTAGAACAAAAGTTATTTAATTTTTCAAGTGTTTCTTTTACTGCACATTTGACCTTGTAGACTAGTAGACTGTATGATGGTATTTTTCGGTTTGATATTTTGATACCTATATTCACTGTCCAGCATTTCAACGAGAGAATACTACGCCCGACGAAAATCGGTTCTTCTGTGGCCTGTAGGGATGCCACGCTGCGAGAGCCAAACAACATGCTGACACCCTGTCCTAGTGAATCCGAAAAATTGGCGTGTTCTCTTGCTGGACAGACTACAGTGTCTGGACTCTGAGGTGAACCTAGTGGTAGGCGGAAGGTTAGGGTCGTTATAATACCCCCCCCTCCCCAATTATTTGTTTTATTAGTTTTTCAGTTGGCCATTTATGAAAAACAATTGTACATAATGATTAATGATTAATGGCCAATTGATTTGAAAATAATTTTGCGATAGTGATGTTGATTAAAAGTTGAGGGTGAGGGGGAATATAAATTCCGATGTATAGGTACTAGCAAATCAAACGTAGTGTCTTTATGTCTCCGTCTACTATGAAATTAATTTATTATGTAAGTACAAATATTTCCTACTGGCCTGCAGAGGACAAGAGAAATCTTAAGAAAAACTGGAACTTTTATGCAAAACCAGTTATAAGCTTATAACTTAGACAAATGTCATTTATTTTAGTAAATCAAAGACTATAATGATCTTAGATACTAGATACTTAACCAAATGTTTATGTGATCATTTTAAATACAAGATAAGATTTTCAAAATATTTTGACTTAAAATTATTAATGGTGATTCACTTCAAATTTTTAATTTTTTTTCGTTTTCTATAAATATTGGTAAAAATTGGTTTCCTTGGTCAAAAAGTTTGAAAATTGAATACGAAGTTCATCCATAAATTGTTAATATATCAATTAAAAAATATCAGAAATATTTTGGTACGATTTTTTTTATAAGCATTCAAATGTTGGCAAAATGTATCAAAATCATTCTAATTATAAACACATTCATTACAGCGGGGGTCGCTACTCGCTTTCCAAAAAGTGGGCTACATAAAAAGTTGTAAATACCTGATGATCGACCACTACAGTGGCGTACACAGGATTTTTGAATGGGGAGGGGGGCTTAAAAATTGGTAATTTTTATTTTGTCCAGTCTAATGATTTCAGAAGTTTTTTGAGGTATTTTAAAATGTTTGTAACTTTTCAACTTTTCTGGTAGAAAATATGCTCTGATCATAAGCTTCGATGCCTGATGTACATTTTTGGAAGCAAATTGGATCTAGTTACCTAGTACTTTTAGGAGGTCAAAATTTAAAATGCTCAGTGCTTTTTAAAATAATTAAAGAAAAAAAAAATTGAAAATTGATTAAAATTGTTTGGTATACCAGCTTGGTTATACCGTCCTCATTTGGATCGTATTTGATTAATTAAACCTTTTTTTTTCTATAAATGTCAATAAAAAATTATTTATCCGGTCAAAAAGCTTAAAAATGTAATACGTATGTTTTTATTATAGCTAAAATATTAACGATACATAGGCATCATAGTTACTTTTTATAAGCATTTTAAGTTCAAATTTCGTCAAAAGTCAAAACCACAGTTAATTTTTAGTTCAAAACTTATAAAATATTAAATGTGTATGGATAAGGCTTGACAATTTAATACAAGGTCTTTTATACAAGTATACCTAGTTCATACTTTTACTGAAAAATTACAGATAATTTATGAAAATAATTTTCATTGGTATTCAAATACAATGTTTTTTAAAAAATGAATTTATACTGATGGTAAGACGTACCTATATGAAATTTACTTCTTGCTTATACTATAGTTGACAATTGAAACTTTGAAACTTGATAAATATTTTGTTTTTAAGTAATAATAATAAGGGCAATAGTGGGGGGGGCTTCAGCCATTTAGCCCCCCCACCTGTAGACGCCACTGGACCACTATTTGTTTAGGTATATTATTCATATTATTACATGCAGCATAATAATTTTATTTTATTATTTCTCCATCGGAAAATTATTGTGTTTTTCTTCGCTAAAAATAAATAATTTACTTTGTATATAAACCGTAAAACTGTGCTTAGATCCTAAACTTTATGATTGGGAACGTGATCAACTAATATTGGTATACTTAATAACTAGACTAATAGTAGATACGTACACAAACTAACAATTATAATAAAACAATTTATATTTTCAAATGGGAATTTGATAAAATCAAATTTATTAAAAAAATGTTATGACAGTTATGACATAATATAATTTGAATTATTTTAAAAGCAAGGTTTATAAAAATTAAGCTGTCGAAAATAAGTATTTCATCGTTTCGCGAAAACAACAAAATTAATCATGAGTTTGCTCAGAAGGACCTATGATAAGCTATATTTTATGATTATGTTATATTTATAACTTATATTATGTAAATAAATAAATAGTGAGTAAATAAATCACATTTTTCGTCATTGAATTTTAATTTTGGAGGGAATCATAAACTTGTGTATAGTATATTTTACTATTTTTATAAGGCGTACAATTTAAAAACAAATTCAATTTTAACCAAACTAGTGGCTAAAGCCATGACTCAATAAATAATTTTTATTTGTTAGTCCTATTATTAATTAGTATTCTAGTATTTTTTCAGTCCAAATTATTATTTTGGACGTTTGTGGGATAATTCCATAGACTAATATTGTAATACATAATTTATCCGAATTTTGTCAAAATAATGAAAAAATGTAAACCGGTTACCGGTTTACGTTTACTATCCTAGTATCCTGCATCCAATAACCACTATCAGCTACTCTCAGTAAAGTTTAATCACAGATATTATATTGTACAATAATATTGTATATTATTATCGACTATGAGCATATTGCTGCTCGATAGACCGACCACCGACAACGCCACAACGGCGACAAGGCACCATAGGCAGACAATGCAAATGCAATCCGTTCTGTGTTGGCCTATGAGCAGTTCCCTCCATAAACCGTGCATACCATGTGATCAGGTGGTTGGCCAGACTGATCGACACCTACCAGGAAAATGGCGACGGCTGGCTTTGACGTCATTTGCGTCGTTTTGCTTCATTGTACGTATCTCGTTCCGTGAAGGAAAAAATATTTTCATTTCGTCTGGAGATGTAACGATTGTTGTTCGCGTGCCGTATTTTTTTTCTTCACCGTATGATACGTCTCGTGCACATCGGCCCTTATTAGTTTACTTCGGTTCCTATCGTGTTTAGAATAATTTCTCCGCGCTGACGTTTTCATTTACGCGATAAATTCGCGTACTTGCCGCCATAAGAACAATTGTAGTTGAACATCTTCCGTCAAGATGAGTATGCCGGAATTGGGAAGCAAGATCAGCCTAATATCAAAGGCGGATATTAGGTACGAGGGTAAACTGTTTACAGTCGACCCACAGGAATGCACCATCGCCTTGTCTCATGGTAATATAGACGTTTTTATGAACTCTTTTATTATAATATGTAGGCAGTCGACATTTTACCCGCCGGGGTGCTCTTTGTCATTGTTGTTTTCGATAAAATTTTTCGACATATTTTATTTGTCTAACCTAAAACCATCATATTATACATAATAATAATCATGTGTAAAATTTTAAATTTTGGAAAGTATTACAAACTCGTGTATAATACGCGTGAAAATTGTTTAATAAATTAGTGTTCTATGTTACTTCAACAGACGGTGTACTATATTTAGACACCTTATCTTAAAATTTGTGTAATTTCCCGTCTTTATCTTCATTTATTTTTCTCCAGTATTTACGATTTATTTCAAAGGTATCTTAATTATTTCTCATCCAATGCTGAATTACCTCATTATTGGCCATTACGTTTATGAAATCGATCTATTTTTGATTAGGCCCTTATATTTTTCCCATCGATATAATAATTTTTCCATCTATTTTTGCATAACATTGAAATCTCAAATATAATGCTTTCATAGTACTGAAAATATTGAATAGCTTATTAACTGTATCTACTTTACAAATAATTAATTTTGTAGGTACTTGAACATTATGTATATTATTAAATAAAAATTACAAATATTTTCTATTTTACAGATTATAGCTATTTATTATTAAGAACAATGATTTTTATTTTTCAATACATTTAGGTACATATTTCAATCTACTCAAATAACACAAATTTTAATATTTATGAATATTACCTACACCACAAATTTTTCTAAAACAATATATAAGTTTAAAATAGGTACTATTCATAATTTTAAATTAAATATTAATGGTTTGATCATGTAACACTTGATAAAAGAAGAATTTATGTACAATGTTTTTATATTATTTTTAAAACTAATACAGTAGAATGTGGTTAACTTGAAATCGTCAATACCTCAAACTCTTTCCCCGGTCCCTAGAGTTTCCTACAATTGTATTATCTTTGTATAACTCAAACTTTCTGGCCGGTCTCTTCAACTTTGAGTTAACCACGTTTGACTATGTTTGACATGTCTGATATTTTTTTTATTATTAGGTATTAAAAATATTAGCATACCTACCTAGTTGATAATTAATTAATCTTTTTCTTCTTTAGTCTTTTTTAAGTATTTTATTTTGTACTAGATGTGTACTTAACTTGGTGGAAAAATGAATCAACATTAAATAGCACTTTATATATCGGTGTATCCTGGTTTTAACGGATCTCAGTTTAGAAGAGAATCGGCATTGGTGTACATTTTTTTTATCACAATTATCTTTGTGAACTGGTTAAACCCAGATGGACAATCCGGGAATTGGCTGTAACATTTGATATATTTTTGAATGTGGATAAACTACTCTTTACTATTATCTCTCAGAACAATCTTGAAATTTTGGAATATATTTATTTTTTTTAACTATTAACTTCCAGACACTGCCTTACTTTTGTAGTACATAAATAACTAAAAATTAAATAAATAATTATTTTCTTTTAATAAAAAAAAATCACGTATAAACACATGGTGAGTCAGCTAGTCCAGCAATTCTCAAACTGAGGGGTTGCCAATACATACACTTTTTAATGCTATCATAATAAAAGGGTTGACAAAAATTTTGGTGACATTATGGGGATCATAACTTTACAAAGATAAAGTAAGTAATTAGTCCATACTATTTAAAAAAAAAAAAATGTATTTCTGTAATCAATGGACACTTCCATATAAATAATAAAATATATACAAATAAAATAGTTTTTCATGAGCCAAAACAAAATTCTCATGCGTGACCCTTAAATCAGTTTTAATGAATGTGTGCAAAATGTTGTGTCAATGGGTTCAGTAGCTTTGAACTTTCAAGTCAATTACCTCCCATACAAACATACATTCATTTATGTATAAAGATGCAATTTTAAATATAAATAATATAATCTATATTAATTTTTAAAATAATTTCATTTCATTAAAACATTTCAAAATATTGTCTGCTAAATATTCTATTGGTGTACTTATTGTTAACTTACTTTCAGTACAATCTTTTGGAACAGAGGATCGTCCAACAGAATTTAAGGTTCCAGCACAAAGTCAAATATATAACTATATACTATTTCGCGGCTCTGATATTAAAGATATTAAAGTTATCACTCCTCAAATAGCTCTCAATGATCCTGCTATTGTACAGGTAACTATTTCATAAACAATTGTATCATTTCAATGCAAACTAATTATTATATAATTATTTATAGCTATCAGTACCTCCAAATACTATGGGTGGCTTTAATGCTAATTATCAATCTATGGATGAACTAGGTTCAGTCAATCAGGTTGGAAACTCTTATAACCCTATGTCTGGTGTGAACTTAAATGCTGGACCATCACATAAGCAAGCAAGTGAGTCTCCTCTGATTTTAGATCCACAACCAGTAATTCAGCAGAAACAACCGATGACTGCCCAATCTGGTATGTACACGCATACACAAATCCAAATGCTTGGGCATATTTGGCATGCTTGTACATATTGCTATTGGGTACTATTGTAAAAATCTTCCAAAATCTTTATGCATGTCAATCACATTTCTGAATGCTTTTAGTGAATTTTAAAAAGAGATACATAATGTTATTACACAAATTTCACAAGCCAAAACAAATCTATATGGACTTATTTATTTTTATCGATATTTAAACAAAAACAATGCTTATAAATAATTTATTTGATTAATAATGAAATATCTACACCTTGACGTATCTCTTTAATTTCTTAAGTTTCTTATTTTATTAAATAGTACATACTTCAAAACCATATTTATTACAATATTAACGAAATATTAAAAATAATTTTTGCTTTTTTAAATAAAAACTCATAGGAACATACCATATAACTTGGAATTCTTTAACTTGATTGTTGTTGCTAAGCTTGTTGTTTTGTACAGTTATTATGCAAAGACTAGGAATTGTTATGTAGTATTATATACAATTTATAACTATGTATTAAAATGCATGATAAGGGCTTAATCTACATTAGATTACAAACAATAAATGTATTGGTTTTACAACTAAGGGCCGATTTCACCAACACAGTTAATCACGGTTAAAGTTAACTGGAGTTTTAATCGGCCGAATTTGGCCGGTTAAATATCTGTTATCAGCCGATTTAGTGTTAACCGTGATTAACTGTGTTGGTGAAATCGGCCCTAAGTGTTTTTTTCTTGTCTGTACACTTATGAGAAAAAATGCTTTGATGTTGAAATTTTGGAGTAGTTACTGGTAGCAAATTAGATCTAGTTGGTACTTTAGTTGTGTTTTAGTTAAGTGTAATTTTTCAAAATAATCAAGTTAAAATACTAACTACAATTTTTTTTTTTTAAACTAGTGATAAAATTAATTTTTTTTGTAATTTTAATATAAATAAACAGACTAGAATTTTTTAGTTTTCCACCACGATCAAAATTTTATGTAATTCTTCAAAATCGTGATTATATTTTATTTAAAAAACTTCAGACTTAAACAATTTATGATACTTTTCCTTATATTTTTTTTATCTGGAATTTAAAATTAAGTTCTGTGTACATTGACTCCATACATTTTTATGTGTGATTGAAGTTCAAATTTTGAAGACATTAGATATTCAAACACATAATAGGGATTATTAATATTATTTTAAAAATATTAATTATCAAAACATTTTACTATTATTTAAACACAAAGACAATTTCAAAATATTTTAGATTAATTCTAAGCTTCTGACACACAAAAAAAAAAAAAAACAATTATTAAATTAGTGAACTCTTATTCTTCACTGCCAAAGTACTGTTATTTTTATTTTTATATTTTAAACCGACTGAAAATTGGTTCTTACGTTAAAAACCGTTAGTCATATAGATAATAACTACTGGATAATATTTACGATTTGTTTTTGACAAAGGTAAGTTCAAAGTTCCATATCACTTGTGGAAAAAAAATTTACTAATAGCAACACAAATACATCAAAAAAAATTAGGCAGACTGCCTGTCTCCTCCCAAAATTGTTTTTCATTGAATTCATATTTAACATAATATCCAATACATTACACTGACGAGGTACACAAGATAACTACAATGTTTCAGAGATAATTCCCAGATTTTATTTTTTGTAGATAACATAAAAAATACACAGTTACACTTAACTTTTCATAGTCCAACTTAAAAATAAAATTATAATGTATACTTATGGCTTGAATACCTATTTTATCTCTATAGAACATTTTTAATTATCTAGATTTGTTGAACATTAAGTTATAAAAATTGCATTGTTTATGAATATTATGCTTTTTATATCCGTAGTATTGCTTTTTATTGAAATCTTAGATTTTCAATATTTATTTATTTTTATATACCTACTTATGAAGTCCCTATTTTAAAGATGTCCTAGATTTAATATCTGGTGGTTCCCGTTCATCTACACCAGCACAGCCAAATGTATTTAATGGTCAACGTAATAGCCCAACTTTTGATCAAAGTATTCAAACCGGAAATCAACAAAGTCCAGGAAATGGAAGAGGAGGAAGAAATCAGCGTAACAGATCTACGTCTTCTTCTGATACTCGTAAACAAGTTAGGCAACAAGGGTAAATATTTCATTTCAGATTAATTTGAATACTTTATAAAAGAGGCAAAAATTGTTTTATTTTTGAAGGCAAAATTATCAAAGGAATGAACAGCAACATTACCAACAACGTAATGACCAACAATATCAAAGGAACGATTTTCAACATCAGGATAATAATCAACATTTTGTTAGTATAATTTTATTGATAAGGTACTGTTCATTGCTGACTAAATTCAAATATAAATTATTTTTTAGGCTAACCGTCAAGGTGGAAATAGGAATATGAATGGTCGTAATTGGAATAATCACCAAAATAATCAGCAACAACAGCAACAACAACAGCAAGTTAGAAGACCAAATCCAGTTCCGAACAATGCTACAGGAGGTCGTTCATTTTATAATAGGTCTACTGGTCTTCCAGCTCCTAGTAAAGTACAGGGACCAAGAACAAATTCGTTGAAGTTTGATGAGGATTATGATTTTGATAAGGCAAATAGTGAATTTCAGGAGATTATAAAAAAACTATCTAGAACCAAGATAGGTAAGTAAATACTAATATTTAAAACTCAAATTAAAAAAATTTATATATTGCTTAAACTTACATTACACAATAATGTGAAACTTAAAAGATTATAATATTATAACCTTGAAAAAGTTTCAGTCATATTATATCTTAAACTGTATAACTATAACTCTATATGGCGATGACCATAGACATATAAACTAATGGACAGTGAGGAATCAGGGGTACAATGTATAGTGTGTGAGAAAAGAAACCAAGTAGTAAAATGTATATACAGTTCCTTTTGCGGGCTCCTTCATTACTTTATGTTCTTTCTCTCTCAGTTATATGGTTATATGATCTTCTAGCATTGATGTGGAATGCGCTGTCCATTTATAGGTCTATAGTGCTGACCAATTTTTGTTTGATGACAAATATGACATGTGGTTTTGCCATCCCCATTTAATAAATCCCCTGCGCCAAAGTGCCTTCTCAATGTGTTTCGAGTATAGATAGTATAGTATACAAAAGGCAAGATAATTTAGATACTAGAATTTAGGTAAATCTTACAGCCTTGGTGGTTAAGGGGATATACAATAAATTATTGTTTCAAATTGTATAATATATTTATTTTGACATCTTTAGATGATGGTTTTGATGATTCAACCGAAGAAGTAACTGTAGTAAATGGTGCTTCATCAGTTAATGGTGATTCAATACCCCATTTAAATGACGGAGATTTAGTTCATGTAAAAAAAACTCATCGTATTGAAAGCGGAAATGAAACTGGTGTTGTAGAAAATGAAAATGAAGGAGATGATGATCAAAAAACATTTTATGATAAATCCAAATCATTTTTCGACACAATCAGCTGTGAAGCAGTTGAAAGAAGCAAAGGGTAACTATAATATATTTATTTAAAACATTAAAACTAATTATACTTTATGATTATTATTTTTTGTAGACATTCACAAAGAACTGATTGGCGTACGGAACGTAAATTAAATTCAGAGACATTTGGTGTAGCAATGGCAAGACGTGGTCAATACCATCGTGGCCGTGGGGGTTATTATAACAATAATAACTCTAATTACCGTGCCAACCCTAACGCCTACAACAATGGTAACAATTACAATAACAATCGTCAAGGAATGAATTATAACTACCGTCAACAATCAAATAATGGATATATGCGTAATAATCCTGGTAACCGTGGCTATAACTACAGACCAAGAGCAACCAACAAACAGGATCAACGCCAACCAAATGCAGTATCTCCTCAACGAGTATCAGGTTAATATTGATTTTTTAATTAAGATTTATGTTTTTGTACCTTACATGTCTGATATCTTGTGGAATTAATTTTTTTTTTTTTTTTTGCAGTAGCCTGAAGAATTCACAGTCTAAATTTCAATATCGCTGTATATTTAACTTACATAAAAAAAAAAAACAAAAACAAAAAAAAAAGTTTAAAAAATTATTTCCCATGGAAAAATTACTTTGTATATAGTTTACATTTCTTCTCTTTATAAACCCAAGATTTTAATTGTTGCCGTGCATAATTTGTGATGAATTCAATTGGTAATTTGGTATATTTTGTTAAATGATATCCGGTTGAGCGGAAGTTTTTGGCCGCATGCACACTTAAAACTCTGGGACTTAAGTCATCATATTCCTAAGTATATTTAATTTTTATTTTTTTGAAAGAACATAATTATTATTAATTTAAAATTAACTTTCCCAGACTGTTCTTTATCTTTAGTTTTAGTTCTGTTTAGACAATTTTTTTTTTAATTAATTCTTTTTTGACGGCTGTTTTTAAAAATATAATAATTTATGGTTTGTTCTTCATTTCATAGTTTCTGCATTAGGTTTTTTTCATTAAGGTGATCGGTTTCATCTATAAATAAATATCAAAAACCAGATTCTAGGTTAATAGAACCCAAATTTGTAAGAAACTATATTAACTAGATGTAAAAAATTTGTTAAAACTTTAGCCTATGTAAGAAAAAAATACAAAGATACTAAAATTTAAAAAAAAAAAATGTGATTTGTTTGTTTAAATTAAACAAATAACACAAATATATATAATATATATATATGTATTAGATTATATCATTTAAAAAAAAAAATATATGTACATTTTTTTTTACCATTAGTTGTGCGTTTTTATTTTAACATTTATAATTTATTTAGTTAATGTTATATTAAAAAAAAAATGGTGAAATCAAGTATGATTTTTAGATTTCAGTCTTGCATATTATATTTTAAAAAATTATCCATCATAAGCTATTTCCTGAAGCTAATGAATTATCGTTTCAGATTGGTTCATTGTACACCAGAATTATGAAATACAGGACTGCTAGTGAGTCACTTAAATCACTAAAAGTCACTTTTTTCACTTTTTATTTAATATTTTGGCTATGCCTTTATCTATATTTTTTTTTTGTGAATCTTGGATCATAATCCTAAAATTATTAATTTGGAAATTAGATGTTGATAAAATATTATTCTCATAGATAATATAAGATAAGATAGTTCTTCTTTCTTAAGATAGTACTATCTTCAATTGTGTATGTGTCTATCATGGTTGTCCGTAACAATTACGGTTGTAAATACAACCACGGTAACAATACAAATATGGCCTATCCGTGATTATCTATGATTATTCTTGTGTAATTTCATATCAATGTCTTTGTATATTTTTCCATGAAATCCTGAATATTCCAGATACTATATAGTATCCTAGGCTAAATATATATTTATATTTTTAGCCATGGATATTATAATTAATAATATCTTTAACCATTTTGTTCCTTAACCTTTAATCTTTATTATTCATTACTTAAACCACAGACATAATGTACTTATAATAAATTGAATGACAAATTTTTGTGTTTTGATTACGTGTCTGCACAAATCACGTTTTTAATTTTTATGATATTTGGTGTGTTAGTTTGTTCAGTTTGTTTAATTTGTTAAGTTTTTATTTTAAATTTAAAAATGCCTAAATGCAATGCAAGAGATGACTGGTTTTTTAAAGATGATATGCAAGGAAACAAAGTATCAGATTGGGGCAGAAAAACTGATTGTTCTAGTGAAATATTTTGTTCTATTTGTATATGTACTGTTGATGTTAAAAAAGGTTTTCAAAGTCTGACTCAACATGCAGCTACCAAAAAACACAAACAAAACGCCCACATAAAGCTTAATATTAAACAACTAAAATTAACTACAAGTACAAATACTACAATTGAAAACAATTCTCGGATTGAAGATACATTAGTTGAAAAAAGCAGTAAGTCAACTACATTTTCCACTGTTCATCTTTATAGTATAAGTGATCAATCAGTAGTAGCAGAACTGATTTGGGCATTAAAAGTTGTATCTAGTAATTACTCATTTGCTTCAAGTGATGGAATTGTGGAAGTGTTTAAGACAATGTTCCCTAATGCTATACCCAAAGGTTTCAGTATGAGTCGCTCAAAATTGACCTATCTGATAACTGATGCCCTTGGACCATATTTTCGTGAAGAATTGATTAAGGATATTGCCAATGAGTATTTTAGTATTATCTTTGATGAAACAACAAACTCAGGTGGGAACAAAGAACTCCAAGTGTTAATTCGTTACTATTCTACAAGTAAATGTAAGATTATAACTCAACACTTACAGACAGTGTTCATAGGAAAAGCTACTGCTGATATCTTGAGTGAAAAAATTGTTAGTGCTGTGGAAAATTCAAATTTATCATTAAGTAAATTGTTGATGCTTGGATCTGATGGTCCAAATGTCAATAAGAAAGTTGCTCGTCTTATAAATGATCAAATTTTACATTGTAGATCAAAAAATCTAATCAACATTGGGACATGTTCTATACATACCATACATAATGCCTTTCTAAAAGGTATTGATAAATTTGGTGAAAATGCTGAACAACTAATAATTTCAATATACTACTATTTTAAAGGTTGGCCAACCCGCTGGGAAGAATTTGAAACCATTTTAGACAAGTTAAAACTTCCAATTAGGCGCTTTATTAAGCATGTTCCTTCTAGGTGGCTGACATTACATGACTGCTAATAGAGTTCTTGAAAATTGGTCAGCTGTCGAATATTATTTTTTGAAGTTTATTCCGCAGCACAAATCAAGCGTTTTAACAACAAATAGTTATAAAAAAATTAGAGAATTTCTTTTAATTATTACAATAAAATGTGAAATGATATTTATTCAATCTAGTGCAAAAATATTTATAAAATACACAGGCACTATGCAAAAATCAGAACCGTTAGTGCATGTAATGTATACTGAATTGCACAATCTCTTATGTACTTTAGTTGGCAGAATTTGTAAAACTGAATACATTCCAAAGTCATTTTTTAATATTAAGGTTGATGATCTATTGACAGTTGAAAAAATGATAGCGGTTAAAGATATTGTTGTCAATAACTTAATACAAGAAGAATTTAAAGAGAAAAAAATGGTCGGTAAAGATATATTGTTCTTTTTGAAGAATGTACAACAGCACTATATTGCTGCATTTAAGCATGTACTTGAAACATCACCCATACAAAACTCTTTTTTGAAGCATTTACAATGTTTGGGACCCTTGGAGCGTCTTAAAAGTCGTTCTTGTAACAGCATATTAAAACTGAGTAACGATTTGCCATTTGATGTTGATGATGACATTTTACTTGATGAATGGAAGTTGTTGCAACTAGATAAAGATGAGAAAGAAAGTGATCTTAATAGAATTGATATTTATTGGAAACAATTCTTTGAAAAAAAAAATAGTACAAACAATTTGAAGTATCCTAATGTAACTAAAATAGTGAAGTCATGTCTTTCCTTGGTACACGGTAGTGCAGACGTTGAAAGAAACTTCTCAATATCTGGGAAAATGTTAACGGATGAACGTGCTTGTATGAATGAAAGAACTCTTAATGCATTGTTGGTTACAAAAGATAGTTTAAAGCATTATCAAAATAAACCAGAATTGGTGTTGATGACTAAAAAACTTATAACCATGGCAAAAGGAGCACATAAACATTACCAAAATTATTTAGAAGAGCAGAAACTAATAAAACATCAAAAAAATGAAAATAAAAAAATAGAGGTACAGATTATGAAACAGTTAGAAGAAACTCAAAATAAAGTTAAAGAAAACCAACAAGAAATACAAGAAAAAGAAAAATTACTGAAAATTGCAAGAGAAAAAGAAACCCAGAAACGAGGCGTTGCTAATAAACTATTTGAAGAAGCCAATAAACGACTAAAAAAGGCCATTCTTGAGAATAATATCCAAGAAGCTGAGTTAGCTCATGCTATGCTAGAAGGGGTGAATACAGTAAAAAAAGAAGAACAACAAAAGAAAAAAACAGCTGATGCCCTTCAAATACAATTGGAAAAAAAGAAGGCATCTTTGATACAACATTTGTCAGGTGCAAAATAAGTGTTGTTAAGTAATTTAATATAACTCAATGAGACTGTTTTAAAATTAAAAATTAAGTTGTATAATTCAATATCTCTACCTATTAATGTGATTATAATTTATTTATGATTTAATTATAAAAAGCAATTTAACAGGATTTCATAAATTACAATTATTATTATTAAGTTTAAAATGTTATTATTTATACATTGGTATAATATTTATTAAATTGTTTATTTTATATTTTAATCTTTTTATCTTTTAACAATTTGTTTGAAATGTAATCATAATAACGTGATTTGTTTAATTTAAATAAATAATTCATGATGTGTTGATATACAAATGATTTTTTAGTTAGATGTTTGGGTGAGTTGTTGAAACTGAAATATACATGTAATAAAAATAGATATGGAAATATTATAAATCATTTTATAGTTTAAATAATGTTTATGTCTTGATGTTTCATGGTGTTCTTAAATTTGATTACTTAAGTGGAAAGATAAATGTATATTATAATATATTTTTCATGTTATTTAAAATAGTTAGCTAGTTACTTGCATCATTTATTAAAAATAACTTATGATGACTTTTGAATAATTAAAAAAAAACATTGGTCACTTTTTTCACTATTTAAAATATTTTTGTCACTTTTTTCACTAATTTAAAAAAAATAATCAGTATCAGTACTGGAAATACTGAACTTATTAGTATTTAATAAAAATGTGTAGGTTTCCTTTTTTTCCTGCTTTTAAATATATGAATCTGCATTACTGAAAAAGTTTATGTCGTTAAAATATATGAAATAATGTTTTAATTTCACAAACACTTCTTGTATCCTATCTATAGTTAAGAGTAGATTTGAAACTTTGTCTTAAGTCCTCCTAGTGAGTTAATATTATTCAGGAACCTCTTTAATATTATCTCTTATTAGTTATGAAATTGGGTAGGTATTAAAAATGTCAGCGATGTTCAAAAAAGCATTCAACTCTAATCTTAAAAGAAATTTATTTATATTATTATTAATAATATACTAAATAGGTAAAATAAACAATGCATTTAATATTACACGGTATTACAATATACCTACATAATACCTGTTAAGTGTCCTCGCTATGAAAAATTAAGGAAAAACGGGAATTTGTAAGCAAAATGTTTTTGAGAAAATAGATTTGGTTTTTGGTGCAACTCTTAAACAAGTGTCCATAGGTACATACAATATTGATTGAATGTTAATGTTAGTATTTTTTATACACCATACAATTTTGAAAGTAATTTGACTCTTTTTGAACTGATTACGGACATTGTCAGTTTTAAATTTTCTTAGTTTATTTTTTCTACAAATATCAATAAAATTTTATTTGTTAGGTAAAAAATGGTGAAAATTTAATGCAAGGCTCCTGAAATATTGTCACAATATCAGTTCAAAAATATTAAAAATTCATAGGCAAATTTTTTTTTATAATCATTTAAAGTTCAAATTTTGACAAAATGTATCACATTTAAAATGTAATAATAATTTTGTGGTTAAAAGTTTAAAAAATGTTCAGCTTATATAGCTAAAGATTGACAATTTAAAACTAGATTCCACGTAAATAGGTTATATATAAATAACTTATTTATTCACCCTAATATCATCAAATATACTTAGTAATATCTTAGGCTGACTGATCGTTTTCGTTCAGAATCGTTTTTCTTATACAATAATAATACCTATATTATTGAATTCAAATTTAATACCTTCCATTATACAGTGATCTACTTGAAACTTAATGTACAGCAGAGCGACTTTTTATGTTTGAAATTTCTATACTATATAGATAAACGCACTCGTCCACATGCGTCTCTTAATAATTTTTTATTAGTTATAGTTTTGAAAATGATAGTTCTGCTCCTGCCACATAGTGTTTGCTAATTGCTGGCATTATAAGAAAAATGATTATGTAAGCTTTTAAAACATTTGGAAAACTACGTAGGTATACTCAATAAATCATTATTTATACTATACTTCAGCTATCCAAATATTTTATTATTTTTACTATTCATCTTTTATAACTGTTTTTTAAGTTAACATATTTGGAAAGTCCGAATTAATAACATAATTAATTCTTTAAATATGTTGTACCAAAATTGTATGATGCTTTAAGGGGATTCGATACCGTGATTTTCTGTTTTTGTCTAACACACTCGCGACATAGTATTTTAGACGTGTTTTTTGCCAAACATACCAATTGATATAATGAAGCGATAAGAATTCTGAAAACAGATTTGAATTTGTCGTCAAGTCTACTTGAGATCGACTTTCCCACATTTTTGATATTATCCCCCAAATTTTTTAAAATGTCATATTCAAAAAGAGTATTTAAAAGTTCTGGTATTTCAATTTTTGGAGAAGTTAAAATCAAAAAATGAAAAATGTGGGAAAGTCGATTTCAAGTAGGCTTGACGACAAATTCAAATCTGTTTTCAGAAATCTTATCGCTTCAATAGATCAATTGGAATGTTTGGCAAAAAACACGTCTAAAATACTATGTCGCGCGTGTGTTAGACAAAAACAGAACATCGCGGTATCGAATCCCCTTAATACCAAATTTTATTCCATTCGAAAATCATTTCGACGGGTCGGCTCAGTACCTACCTAGTATTACGAAAAAAACAATGTGATGATCATACAACAACAATAGGTAACAAAAACTATAGTTATTAATTATTATTATTGTTTAAAATTCTGAGCCGAGCAATTATGAATAAATTGATTTTATAATGTGTGAGTGTTTCCTTAAATTCGTTTTTCTTCTTTTATCACATTTTGGGGCAGAAAAAATGTTACCACTCTGGTAAACTTATACTCTCAATTCTCAATAGTGGCCAATACCTTCAATGTATTTCATTGATTTGGGCGGGGGTGCCAAGGGGGCTATTTCCCCCCTGGGAATTTTTAGCTGCATGTACTTTAATATCAATATCGCTATAACTAATATTAGATTATAAATAATTTTTATCTTGCCCCACGTGGGATTTTATCCTGCGGGCGCACTTGTTCATTGAGATTTGGTACTTAACAAAAAAATGTTTAGTGAATATTCTTTGTGGGTCCCACGTGAACACGATCATGTTCAGTGGGGCCATTATTCTGTTGAAATAAATAAAATCGTACTCTTATTGATACGAAAAATAAAGAACTAAATTTTCTGTGTATAGAAGAAATAATTTTATAGCATTAGGTATCTCATGAAAGATAGAAAATGAACGCTTAGTGTTATAAAATGTTGATCTCCGAAAAATTAAATATGTTACGTGATACAAAAAAAAGTAGCAAAAAACAAGAAATAATAATTTAAATGAAAAAAATAAAGCATCGTACAAGACGAGGCGATGTGAGGGGTACGTAATGGCGAGTTGGTGGTGCTGATGATGTTGGTAACTTACTGGTATATGGGCCAATGGTCACCTCTACAGCGTTCTCAAGGGTGCGAACGAGGGTCACGGGCGCGTTTGCTCGAGACGTTAAGACGATCATGGCAGCGGGTGAAGCCCGGCCACGACGGCTGCGATAGTTACGACGGTTGGCGACGAGAGGCTAGTCGCTAGTGCGCGATGTCATGCTCTGCTTGACGGTGCTGCGGGTGCTGAAGACGACTGTTGTGCCGGCGACGACGGTTACCTGCAAAACTTGGAGCCAGCGACGAAGACTATAATCTTGCGACTCGACCGGCTTATGATCGGACCACTGGGTGAAAAGGGGAGAGAATCTGTGGACAGCATCGCAATTCGCAACCAATATTATCTATGATCGCAACGCGCCGCTGTCCTGATACTCTCTGTGTTTTACGTCTGCGGTGTCTGCCGCGGCCAATGGTCACCGAGTGCTCTGTATTTGTCACTGAGCAGGTACCGTCGGGGACGGCGTCGTTGTCCGTGGAAGTACCGCTAGCCTCTGTCGTCGCTCCCGGACCGAAACAGCCGGGCACCCGTTGGCCGTCACGCCACCAGATATGGCCGGAGAACGTGTATCGGTGACTTACCGCCGATCACCACCTAAATGTGCACTGTCACGTATTACCTCGACCCCACGTCGCCTTGTCCGCTGCCCTAGGCCAGGGGGAAACTTTTGGACGGTTTCACTTCGAGGGACAACAACACAACACGCATGCGGCTTTCGTTATACCTCGCCATGCCAGCCAGCCAGGACCCAGAAGACTAGAAGTCTGCAGGAACGCCAGGAACAGTTTGTAAACTGTTCTTGACTTCTAGTCCCCTGGCCGGCGTGGCGCCCCTCGCCACGCCACCTACCTCCTTTTCCACGGCTTCCTGCACTGTCGGCGTGACTATCACGTCATCTCCGGCAGTTTCGACCGGTACTGCAGCTTTGCACGATTTGTCGGCCGGTTGAAAGACGTACGGAACGTAGTCGTCGCCCGCGAAGAGTGTCGCATAGAACAAAAGTCCCTCTAGATGGTCGGTTCCTCGTCGATGTCGTCGAATCTGCTAATTCTTCTTCCATCATTTCGTATTCGACGTTGCTGATGATCTTGTCCAAGATGTGCTTGATGGTTGTTTCGATTGTCATTTCGTTATTATGCGATGCAGCGGTTTTTTACAGATTTTTTGTCCGCGTATATAGGTGTCAGAATTGCAAATGTGCCGATTCCGAATTTCTCCCTGGACCGTCGACGATGATATAAAACAATTAACAAACATCGTTTATTAGTAGCCAGCGAGTATAGGTAAGCAATCACTTTATATTAATCGACCGGCACTAGAGTGCCTTTAGAGTGCCTCTCTATCAAGGCACTCTAACCGGCACCAGCTGGATTTCGGGCCCCTTTATTTTTCCAAACGCCATTATTATTATTATTATTATTATTATTGGTATACCAACTCTATTACTGTATACTTCCGCAGAGGTATACTATATAGTCTATAAATGTAGTAGGTATAATATTTTAACGAGGATTTATATATCGATCTGCATTATATTATACATATATACTGTCGTATATGTACTCGTTTAATACTTTTAT